ATTTTTATAATTCCGACTCCGGGTCTTCATTCTTCATATCTGGTTCTGGGTCTTTTAACTGTTAACCCCTAACAGTATCCTCAATATGTCCTAAGTAAAAAAATATGTCCTGGAAAAAAAAGCCCAGAAGAATCCCATTAGAAAAAGACCCAAATATATCCCATTCATACGCATACACTCTTTTTCTCACGTGATAAAATTTTAACCATTAGATATCATCATGAAAGTCACTGAGTTGATTACTTACATCAAGACAAACAAAAAATCTATTACAAGTTTTTTTGCAATTGTTTGTAGGCTACTACTACTAGCACAAATGGTGCATAATCGAATTACATACTAATTTGCCTACAGATACCAAACAGATCTAAACATTGGGTACAGCAGATGAAAATGTCTTGTAGAATTTTGTTGAACAGTTCTCAGGAGTCAGGACATATTGAGGATACAAAATCAAGTTGAGTTCTGTTGCAATTTGTTCAACCTTTTTTTCTTAAAATGAATGAACTAATATTCATTTATTGAACGAAAGCATTTAAATAATCGTACCCATGATGGGTATCTATACTTTTTTACCATACCATACCATACCATATTATACTTTCTCCTCAGTTTTTTGAAGAAGCACTTACCTTGTGTCCTCGGGGAAAACGCCCAGCCTGACTGACAGTAACTTAATCCCGTAGTCGTGACGAAACATGGCGGACCTGATGCTGTCATTATTACCGTGAGCTGCAGATTCGTGTCCACTCTCAATTCGTGCACGGTGTGAAACAGCGACTACTTTATATAGTTCAAAAAGTGTTGAGGTTAAGGTCGTTTTAAACAGTGATGAGTGGCACATCGGTATGAGCTTTCGTGTTTTTACAGTAGGCTACACGCACGAAATTGGGTCTGTCATGATTTAGACATGATTTAGACATGATTTTAAGTAAATGTCTCTACCATTGTGAACCGCAGTCTGGATGATGATAGGAGGATCCCTGCAGCGGTCTTTCTTTGTCTCGTTCATTCCCTGCCACGCCCATGTTTCATGAACTTCATTAGGCATACCTAATCTTATCTAACCTCTAATGAAATCTGCACATTTCAGATATTCTCCACTAAAGCAAAAGAGCCTTTTCTTTTATACAAACTCCTCTGTATCAAAGTAAACATGTTAACAGACATCCCAAGTTTACTGTAAAAAAAAAAAGAAAAAGAGAAAAAAGGGGCAACTGGTAATTTTATGACAGGAAAATGCAATGCTTAATTCAAAATATTGTTTTTTTGTTTGTTTTTTACAGTGTACATACTCATTTGTATCCATAATATCCAATGATACATTGATATTATTATCCTCCAGAATCATGATCCAACAGGTATCATTATTATAACAGCAGTTATAATGTTATAAAATATCCTCACACACTTAGAAATTACTCAACAAAACTAAAACTACTTACCGACTTGACAAAAATGAAAATTCTGTCATCCTCATGTCTTCAGCCAAACATACATAAGCCTATTTTTAACTTTTTTGTCAAAACAAACATACAATAACATTAACTTCTTTTGTATTCCAAGTTTTGGAATGACACGAGGGTGAGACAAAGCTTAAAAAAATGTAATTTTTTGCGGTGAACAATCCACTTACACTAGTCACTGTCATGCATACACACCCCACCAGCTCTCACACACACACCTCTGCTTGAGCAGGGCCACATCTTCGGCCAGGTTGTCCCTCTCCACCTGCATCTGGTCTCGATCGTTGCCCATGAGCTCCATCTGTCTGCGCATCTCCCTCATCTCCTGCTGGCACAGCTCGTTGACCCGTCCCGACGGCCCCTGCTGCTGCTCCTTAAACTGACCCAACTCCAGAGTCAGCTTCGAGTTCTGCTGCTCCAGATAGCGCACCTTCTCGATGAAGCTGGCGAAGCGGTCGTTGAGTTCCTGCAGTTCTCGTTTCTCGTTGCTGCGCGTGGTCAGGAACTCCTGGTTGACGGCCTCTGCCAGAGAGAAGTCCACTTTATCATACGAGAGCCGGGCCCGGAGCGCTGGAGCGGCTCCTGAAGTCCACAGAGCGGGCGGGTGTGGAGGAGGAGATGTAGCGGCCTCCTACGCGACTGGACACTGGGCTATAGGCAGGCGGCCCAAAAGTGCGCTGATAAGAGGTGCGATGATATGAGGAGTGACTCATGATTTTGCCTATAATCCTTGTACTTTAGAATGATAAACTAGTGTATCTTCCTCTCTTCTTCTGGTCCGTGTGCCTGTTGTGATCGAAGCTGAGTCACGGCAGGATGCGAGACTGAGGGGCTTTTATACATGAAGCTGGTCAGTTCATCTGAGCTCCACCCAGCCCAGCCCTTTCCCAGTCTCCTGAGCCCCTGATCTCATCCTCTATCATTCATCCATATGGTCAGACACTCCCTCACAGGCACAACCTAGGCACTTCTCGGACGGTTTTCACTTGAAATGTGAAATCATTGCATTTATAATGTTAACAGAACTGAAAGAGGCATTTTTCAGTGTAAGTCAAAAGCAAAACGATGAATGCATTTCTTTTTTTTTTTTTTTTTTTTTTTTGCATTAAAAATGTAATGAGAAATGTAAGAAATTTCCAGGCCAGACTTATACCCTTGGACTAGACTGGGTCCAAATTGGGCTCAGCTGTAGGAGCAATAAACACACATGATTAATCTCCAAGATCATTTTTACAACCAAACACACTGACTGCTCAAATGCATCATCATTTTGTGGAGCTTTCAATTCAGGGTGCAGACATTTTATATGATTCAATGAATCTGTCAATGTGTTTAAATTTTTCAATTCAACAAAAAACATTTTTTTAGTCCCTCACAGACAATTTTAATAAACAAAATACACATAATAACTCATAAATGTGTAGGCTGAAGCCTTTGCTTATTATGCCTACCCCTCTATACATATTTACAGTATCTAATGAGAGTCACTTGGATTGTTTCATACAAGATACACAAAACAGTTACACAAGACATTTTCCCAAATGTATATACATAATTATAAAGGTGCACTGTGCAATTTGTGTATGTCTATTCAATTTGTGTATGTAATACTTCATATCTGAAATGTGCACCGTGCACATTTCAGATATTAAGTATTACATACACAACTTGAATAAATAATTACATAGACAAAAAAGATGACTGCCACAGTGAGAAACATACATTTATTCTAATTTATTGTAAACAATTGACATAAAATATGATGATTCAACATGTTGTCTGACAACCAAACCATAGAGCAATGTAAATCAAGCGTTTGTCTTCTAAAAGGTGAGTTAATTGTATTCCTTTGCTTTTCAGCAAATGTGTCGAGTCATTCTGCAGGACATGTAGAACTATTTAAATGATTATTTTGCCCACTGTACCACATAAACACAACGGATATGCTCACTCTGTGCCCACATTAATAATTCAGCTTCCATTCTTTCCCCTTTGCTCGGTCAATAAAGGCATCATGACTGAAATACAGTAGACTTCACATAAAGGCGAGCATATCAAATCACATATTTTCTATCATATGTGTATACGTAGCACAATTAACACGAATTTTATGGCAATTAGTGTGACACCTTGCCAAGAATGTCTAAAAATCTCTCTTTTAATGTCTCTTCAAGTTAGTGTAACCCCCTGCCTTGACACATTTAATATCAGTTTCTCAGTAAAATCTGTGGGATACTTCAACATTTTTAAAAGGGACATGCTAAATTCACTTTTACATCATGTTTGAACATAAATGTGTGTACACAACCACCCTAATGGTAAAAATCCATTTTTAATCCCCATAAATCATGAGCAGTGTCTCAGAACAAGCCATATGCAGATTCTAGAATATGTGAGTCACAAATGCTTAAGCCCCGCCCACGACTGCTGACGCACTTGTCTCATTAGCATAGGCCCACCCACAGTGAGCTGAACACATTCCGCCATGTTTATCTCCTCGCAGAGCATTTAACAGCAGCATTCCAGTAACTTGAACAGTGTCGTATATTTTCTTCAATTGTATTTACATTACTTCCAATCCTAAATTCCTGAGAAATTCACAATTTTAAATAGTGCCCATCCCTGTTCACTTGTGTCACCTGTCAATGATGTAATCTCTGCGTTAACCCTTAGTAACCATGGCGACAGACGTGGATAACTGCGTTACATCCATAGATATCTC